TTTAAAAAATACACACAATTTCAGAAGTTTAAAAAATGCAATGATGACAAGTTCAAAAAGAACTACAAAATATGGTCGAATTTAGCTAGAATAATATGCGTTTAAGTTCTCTTTACTAAACTGAAATAGCCACATCATTACATTAAAAATTCTGCCCAATCTGATCATTGATATAATATGGTCACACATTTATCAATTGATCAACTCAACAAACATTAATCAAATCGCTATTATGTTCAGAGAGTCTAGAGGATTCGTGTTTGCATGTAAAATGTAAATGATTTGTCAACCATATAATACCTACAAGAGAAATCCAAAAATGGGAAGTTTTTTGTATTTGTTTTTAATCACAGTTGGCATTCAATGTTATATTAGTTTCAGGTGCACAATATGGTGATTAGACATTTATATATACATTATGAAGCAATTACCTTGATACGTCTAGTATTCATCTGACACCATACATAGTTATTAGAGTATTATTGACTCTGTTCCCTATGCTGTACTTTTTATATCTAGTAACTATTTCTATAATTGGAAATGTGTACTCTTTAGTAAAGGAGAAATTTTAAAAGAAAACCCACCTTGTAAAGAATTAAATCTCAATAGCTCTTTTACTGAAATTAAAATATTAATAGTTGCAAACTATATGCAATGGCCATAGCAATTGGCAAACTGGTTTACAACAATTAAATACATACAAGGCCATATTCTTCTGAGCCACTCTTAGAGTTAGCTAAAAGGTTTTATCACAGAAAAAGTGGAACTAAGATGAATTCAACATACTGTGACTTAATTAGACACAACAGATATGTTTAAAACTTTGCAGTTGGTGAGATCCAAAGGAAAAGCCACTGAGCATGAATCTATGTTTTAAACAAGATCTACCTTGAAGATATGAGCACATTATCTGTTTTCTTCAACACGGAGTTTCAGAGACAGAACTGAAACCCAAAAATCTAGTGTAATTTACTTTCAATCTTACTTCTCTTTAAAGAACCAAAGTTGGAAAACTATCATGAAGAAAATTAATGCATGACTAAACCGCACATTGAAGTTCCCCCCTTGCATCTCAAATCTCTAAAAATGATGGAAAAGTGTTTAAAATGCAGAGCCATGTTGCAGAACAAGAAAGCATACTGTTGAGGGATGAGAAACTACGAGGAACCTCTGAACAAGAGAAAGCAGGGAAACGGGATTAAAGAAAAACAGCCCAGCTCCAAATGAATACTTGGCACGTGTCAGACAAAACGGGGAGGCGATAGGCCCACCCAAGACGGAAGGGGTGAACTGCAAGGCAGAGTAGAGCCCCACCTAGGCCGAGCCACGGGGGCAATGGTTAACAACAGGAGGAACAAACTGACCACGTCCCATTCCTACCTTCCCATCATGGGCGCAGACACAACAACAGCTGTAGCCACGCCCCCTCCAACCAGAAGGAATGAGGGCAAGAACCTGACAGGAAGAAATCAGTCATGTGCTGTGACAAGCTAGAGATGTAGTGAGCCCCAAGGTGGAAAAGGCATTTCAATCACAATAACCTACCACTGGAGATTGTAGGAATTAAACATTGATTGTTGGAAGAGAAAAATTCAGTAGCTACAAAAATAGCTGAAGGGCAAAGTAGTGAGGAAGCCAATTCTCCCATAATGCAGCACAAAAGAACAAGCAGATGGAAAGTATTAAGGAAAGTATTACAGAAAGGTTGAGAGGCATGAAGGGAGGAGCCGAAAGTGTGAATAGTCACCTAAATAAATTAGAAAATTCTTCCAGAACTAAAGACATGAACACTCATACTGAAATAGTATCAACCAGAATATTTTTTAAACACACACACACACACATCCCTAGTGACACTGTGGTAAAATTTAAGAATAACATGGATTAAAAGAAACTTTTTAGAGATTCAGGAGGAAAAGGAAAAGCAGAGGTTACTTATCAAGAAGTAAGCAGCAGATTGGCCTCAAGCTTCTCATCAGCAACCCCAAAATACAGGGAAATATGGTACAATATCTGCAAAATTCTAATGTTATTCTGAGTCTAGAATTTTACACTCAGCCAATATCACTGACAAGGAAAAAATACAGGCTGACTTTCTACCAGGCAAGGACATGACAATTTTATTTTTTTAATTTCCCTGAAAAAAGTACTAGGGAATACACTCCAAAAAAAAAAAAAAACACTCAAAGACGAAGTAGTAAAATATACAAAAGTCAGTGATAAAGACAAAAAAAGAGTAAATCGCCCCCCAAATCAAGTAACAATCTAAAAATAAAATCCCAAATGAAAACAACGTGAGAGCTGGGAGGAGGAAGTAAAGAGAAGTAAAATATCTTGTGAAGGGTTAGCTCTAGATACCTACGGAAAGTCTGTTTCAGTATGTGTGATATTTTGTCATTATACAGCCACAAAAACAAACATAATTTGTAACTTTGGAAGAATTAAGAAAAAACAAAATGAAGAATACTATCAATGGAAGACTAGGAGAGAAACGGAAACTACACAAAGGCTATAAACGGGTAATTCACTGAAGAATAAATATAGCACCCAATAAATATAGAACATACTCAATAGTAAACAGTAAAAGGTAGACTAAAAAGCAACAGCATACCATGTCTTAGACAAATATACATTTGCTAATATCAAGATACACTTTTCGGGAGGGGGCTATAAATTGGTACAACCATTTTTTAAAGTACAAACTATATAAACCAAAAAATGTGCTTCCTACTATGTTCTCTAGAAAAGTTTTTGCATCTGTATACATGCTTATTGAAACACTTTTGTAGCAAGAAAAAATGGGAAATAAGCGAAATGCCCGTCAATATGGAAAATGTCATGTAATGAAGACGTATTCTGCCATGAATACCATGCGATGATCATAAAGAATATGATAGACCTATGGCTACTGACCTGCGGTGGTCACAGACAAATACAAGAAAAGCTTTATGTGTAATATGGGAGGTTATTTTTATAACAAAATGTACTAATATGATTTGTGCAATTATAAATAAACAAAAGGAAAATAAAAATAAACAGAAAAATAAAGCAGTAAGAATATGAAAGTGGTAGAAAAAGGAGTCCATTAATTCTCCTTTTATAATATTGCTTTTTGAAAAGCATTGTTGACATTGAAATTAACTGTGAATGTTACTGTGAATGTTACAAACCCTAATCCATCCATCAAGCACATGCCCTCTGACAATGCATTCAACACCTCATTCTCATTCACACAATGCATTGACTAATTTGTAGGAATTGAATTAAAAAGTATTGAAAATTGACAAATTGAGGAACAATCAGGACCAGGCCACTGTCACCAGTCCCCTGCCACAGTCACAATGGTCTATCATGGACAGGCAGAGTAAGGTGCATTGCCAGAATGCTCCAAGACAGCCTGACTGAAAATTAAAATAAAAACCAGTGGAATTGGTTTCAGGTGAGGGCAATGCAGATGTCTATCAAGAGGCACTTTGTGCAGTCAGAGCAGGATCAGAACTTTCTCTGTTTTTTGCTCAGTGGTTGCCGAGTCAGCACCGTCCCAACAGCCTGGGGATTTGGGAGCTGGCCAAGAGGCCAGGTGACTCAACATTGGATTTCTTGTCCCTCAAGGCAATTTCTCTCAGTGGTGCAAATTTACACCAGAACAGAGAACAGTTTTCTTATCAATCAGGAAAAGACATATATTAAAAGCATTGGGGTTTTTTTTCTTCAGTGCTGGCTAGCAAAGAAAGCTGAGGGAAGCTGGCAAGGGAGCAAAGCCGGATTCCCCCATCGTGAAAACAAAGATCTCTGGTTGTGACAGAAAAACCTGTGGGAAGGGTAACTGCTATCTTCTACACCCCGACAGTTTAAGAAACAAACACTTAATCTTTCTCTTTATCACAGTCTCATCAAAAATAAGCAGCAGCTGTATTTTCCTTAAATGAAAATTGCCCCTCAACAATAGGGTCTTCCGAAAACAAAGAACCGGATATTTATGGTTTAATAGGAAGACTCCTCACGGCCAAGAACCAGCTGCTACATGGCTTTGTGCTGAGTCACCAGCCACTAAACCAGAAGATTAAATATTACTGTGAACTGATTAACTGGTTGGCTGATTAAAATTTTAACAGAGGAATAATATGAATATGTGAGTATTGTAGAGGTATGTTGCAGAAACCCTTAATAGTAAAATCCTAACAGGCACTCTTAGATTCTCCTTCCCTATAAACACACTGGCCCTTACAGAGAGCTGTGATTTTATCATATGCTGCCCTTTTAAGTTCTGGAGGTGTAAATGCTGAGGAGAGAAGTGTGGACAAGAGTAAAGGAACAGACTGTAAAACCCAGACATGGGGGAGAGTACATATAAGGGCAGATTTGTGGAGTTCCATCAAAAGACACAGACATCTGGCAGCAAGACAAGTTGAAGGGAATGTGCTGGATTGAACTACATTTTCTTGTGCTGCCAGGACACTTTATCACCTTGAGATCCTTTCCTCTATATGGCTTGGGTGCCAACCAAGTATATACGTGGCCAGTGCAATACCACACTCTTAGCAGATATTTTTTGGATGGATGGATGGATGGATGGATGGATGGATGGATGGATGGATGGATAAGTGGATGGGTGGGGGATGGATGGATATATGGTTGGATAAATGGATGGATGGACCTATGGATGGACATATAGATGCATGAATGAATATATGGGTACATGATGAGATGCATGGATGCATGGATGGGCAAATAAATGAAGGAATAAAGTATATACTTTTTTCTCCATACACTTTAAAGTCAACATTCAAAATTAATATTTTATTTGCAAATAATGTTCAGCAAAGTTGCTACCAGCTGATTTCTCCATACTGTACACAAATGTTGCTCCACTCACTGGAAACATTGACAGAATACTGTATAGCATCTGGGTAGTAGTAATCTTCCCAGACTCTCTACCACACCAAGTCAATTACAATCATTAATAGCAACAAGAACTGGTTGACTTAAAAGTAAATTACCACAATTGGGTATCTGCAGGTTTGCCAGGGGGATATTCTTGCTGCTTTCATTTAGGCAGTATAGATTCTGAGTTTCTGGACTGGATTTAGTCTCCTGAAAAGTCTTGATCCACATAATATCACAGGAGCACACAAATGGATTGCCCACCAAGATCCTACGTGGAACAAAAATAAAACCTGGTCAGGCTTCCCTCTTTTAATTTTAACGACATTCATGTTCATGAAGCACTACAAAATTATAAATTCTTTCTAGCCAGCAATCTTTGAAAGTCATGCCCACCTTTACAATATAACAGTACTTATTCATTAATTTAATACTTACTGACCTTCTGCTACATGCAAACACCATTATAAAAGCTAAATGATGCAAAATGAAGACCTTTCAGAATAATAGGGGAAAATGATAGGGACAGAAATAGCTATAACGTAGGATAGAAGAGGGTGTCTTATAAAATAGGGAAAAATAAGGTGCCATAACAAATTTATCACAGTTATTAAGAAGATAAGATCTAAGTGAAGATGCCAACAGGAAGTTGTCAGGAAACTAACATCCTTATTTCTGGTCAGGCTAGAGATTGAAGTGTTACTTAATAAGCTCAAACTTCAGTGGGGGGCAAAGCAACATCATTTTAATTTAAAACGAGACTAATTACAAGGCTACACTGAAGTGTGAGAGCTAATCAGGGGACGCTCACAACTTTATGCAAACTCAGGTCAGTATGACTGATGCAAGAAAGTTGGAGTGAAAGCCAGAGAGATCTGGGAAGGAGCTCTTAGACCTCAGGCCTGCATGTGCGCACGTGCTCAGGAGTTTAGAGAGCATGCGCGACTGAGCTCCAGCTTGAGCCTCTTGGCCCCCTGTGAGAGGGTCTGCTGAGATAAAGCCGCTATTCACATGCTACCGGGACTCCTGTGGCCTGCGACTGGTGAGAGAGGAAGTAGTCAAAAAGGAAAATAAAAAACCACAAGGAAAAAAATCTTTAAATGCTTATTTATAATACCCAGTGGTCCATTTAAGATGAATTCCATTTATGGTAATGAGCCTTTAAATGAGGCCATTTAAAATCGTTACATAGGCTCTGCCTGGCATTAACCACAATACTTAAGATTTCAATGAGGACAGAACCTGGGCTTTGCAACACCATTTACTCCTGTGGTTTTCTGGTCGGGTTCTAAGAATCTCAGGGATCCCTGGAGTCTTTTACAGGAGTTTCTTTGGGGGAAATGTGGTCATGGCAGACTCATTTAATTTGTGTCTGCTTGATGGCCTCCAAGTAGCCCTCCAAAACCAAAACAAGATTTGATGCTATCAGATATGGAATATAATGCAGAAGAGATCCACAATGTTCAAGCCCCAATAATCCAAGCTATTTCCTGGCATTCTGAGTACATAAAAAACTAAAGAATCTTTCTGAAAAGAAGGTTTCATTAAATCCACAGAGGGGGTAAAGAAGCGAGGGGTTCTTCAATTATACGTATAGCAATGTTCCTATGACCACAAAATGCTGGCAGACAACTGGCTTCTTCCTTTAGCTCACTGTGCAAACTCCTTTTGCAGTGATTGCTATTATGTTTATTTGTTTAGGCCTCTCCCTCTCCCTCTCCCTCCAGAGAGCAGAATGCTGGAACGCAGAAACAGTTCTTATATTGCCATGGCCTGGTGCCATGGTACTTTGATTTGTAACAGGACACAATTAACATTTGTTGAATGAATTGACTAAATATGTTGCAGGGAGAATATTGAAACATATGAATTTGGAATCAGAACTCCAGTTTTTAACCCACCAAGAATATTTCCTGCAGTGATGCTTAAAATTTTTTTTACAGAGTTCCTTACTCTATTTCATCTATTCTTCCTTAAGTTTTTCATGTCTGTTCCTGGGTTAGAGGTGAACCCAGTACTCCAACTACTGGAATTCGGTTCATTCCAAATAATTGCCCATCACTAAGACTTTTACCACGTAACCCTCATTACTACCGATTAGCTTGTTGCTGCTCCACTAGTGACATCTTCTGATCTGCACCCTGCAACCGGGTAGACCCTACAACTCAGGCAACAGACAGTGTAGACAAAAGTTCTGCCTGGTATTTAAAGGTCTTGTCCGCCTGGGCCCACCACTGCTGCCCAGAGCCTCTGCTTTAGGGTTCTTTAGGCACCTGAGCCACAAGAATGCAAACCATTTACATGTGCTTCATAGTGATAACACAAAAACTGAACACACTTGGAAATGCTGCCTATGAGTCGTCAATGCATTTCAACATTTTTCCTATCACTTTATAGCCAAGGAAATTGGGGCATAAGGATAAGTACTGAATGCAGTGGCAGACCCAGGAGAAAATCCGTGAAGAAGGGATAAGTAGGGAGAAGGTCTACCCGTCCTCCAGTGTTCACTAAGCACCAAGCAGGCAGCGGTTGGTGGGTAAGAGCTGGCGTGTTTGCCCATGGTTATTTTCTCCTTGAATGGGTTTGCGTCCCACTAGGGTAGGAGTGTCAAACTAATCTTAATCAGGGGCCACATCAGCCTTGTGGTTGCCTTCAAAGGGCCGAATGTAATTTTAGGGCTGAATGTAACAAATGGAACTACTCCTTTACTGTTGAGGAGTTGATACCCCTGCACTAGCGTCTGGACGTCATAGAGACCAAACAGATGCTATGAGATACGCAATCATTTCCACACAAAGCTCCATCTTTTTCCTTTTCCCTTCACTAGAAAATAATTCATTTCAGTAAAAACAATATTTAAATTCCTTAGAAATGATATATTACTGAGGTTTCTATTTTTATTACTGAATCATGTCTTCATGAGGGAAAAAAATAAGTAACCAAAACTTGAGAAATTATTTTTCAAGAATTTTGGCATAAAAATAGATCTGCAGCATCACTCATTAAAAAAAAATACTTCTTTGCCCTTTTCCTTGTAAACTGTTTCCCCAAACACAAACTCATTACTTACAGCTCAGACAAGTCAAGGTGACGGAAATGTTTCCTAGACAAACTCGTCAGTTTATTTCGGGTAAAATTGCTGAAAGGAATCAAAAACATTAAATGTGAATTTAAAGTGATACATTTCAGAAATAAAGTGTTCAAATAGGGACTTTTTTCCACAATATAATATGATTTGATCCTGGTTCAGGCCTTACTGAGACTCAATCATCTCTTCCAGCTGAAGTAATGGCTTCGTTCTCCTGCCTCTGCTATAATTTTTGCCCATGGAGGGAGAAGTATAAAATTTTCATATTGTTTCTTTTAAATCTCTTTTTTAACCCAAAGGCTTATTTTTCATATGCCAATTCAGAGCCAAGTTATATACCTCCTGGAGATTTCTGACCTTTTAAACAATTAATAGAAAGATTAAAGTTAATTTAATTTAAAACCACAAACTCACCAGGGAGAAAGGTACTTTAAAACTAAAGAGCATCGTGAATACTTTAAAGTCATGTTCAATGACAGATAAAGCCATGTTCAAATGAAGTCAGGTTCACCACATACACAACTCTGAATATGAACTGGACTTAATACTTCCTTATAGGAAAGAATGCACCTACTGGCTGATAAACTCGGCTGAGATTGATTGTCTATGACTTCTAAATAACCAGCTGATACCACAATGACGACAACAACAAAAAATCAGGTCGTGAGAAATGTGTCAGCTGTTCTCTTGAACTACTCTAGCTACATGGCATTTTAAACATTTGGACCAATCAGAGAGAAGGTGGCATACTTTGTGATTGAAAAAAAAATACTGAATTTACTGACATGTTCCAAATATGTAGTTTTTTTCAGTGGACAGGAGTTTTAGTTTCCACTGATCGATGCCATGAGACCCTGAGCTGGGAAATTCAGAGCCATAATCCTGGCAGCTGACTCCCTCTGTGAATCTGTTTACTAGTTGAATTTATTTAAAAAGTGTCCAATGATCAGGCCCCTAGACATGTGTTTAGTAAGTAACATGAATATAGAAAAAACATCAACTTTCACAAAAACAGCCAAGACCTCAAAGAACCGCCATGAGCCTTTCAGTGTCTGTTTCCTGAAGTGAGTGGTGGGCTGAGAGTCAGGTAAGTATGGGAGGCCTGAGGGTGACAGTAATCCTGGACCCGTACCTGAGCTAGGCCTTGTGTCAGCCTAACAAAATCATTAATTAATAGTACCTTGATGTGTCCTACCTTCAGAAGGGGCTCAGCCCAGGAGCTCATCCATGAATAAAGAAAATGCTCCCTCAGTGCCTCATAATTTAAGAATGTGCGCCCACTCCTCAGCTTATTCTGCACTGACACTTCCACTCACCCAAACTCTGACCTACACCAGGGTGCCCTCTGCCTTCTGTGCATTAATCCTCTCTTTTCACACTGAGTGTCCAGTGCTCACCCACATGGAAAAGGTACTCTACATGGAAGTTTAAAAATGTGGCCACAAAAAATCTTTTCTTTCTAACTGTGAATTAAGAATAGCTTTCATTGGAGTATAATACATTGAGGAATCAACCTGCCTGTCCTCCCCACAGTCTTGGAGACACATATATTTTCATTTTCTTCAGAATTCTCCATCCTTCTGGGGATGGGGTGTGGGGAGGGGGTGGGGGGAGCAGGAACCTACTCTTCCTCCCAAGAAGGACAGGAAAGAAGAGCTAAGAAAAGGACATTCATTGTCAAGGCTCTTGGGGCAGCCAGCGAGCCGGCACCAGGAGCAGCTGCCCCTACCCGGCTGCCAGCATCACAGCCCGAAGCCGGTTACACGCCAAAGAACAAGATGAGTTTTATGAACCATACTTATTATTGGGGCCAAAAGCCAAAAGCCAAAAAAAAAAAAAAAATGGAGAAGGAGGAAGGGATAAAAAAAAAATCAACAATCCTCTTACTGTCTGATTATAGGACTTTGAAAAGGAGCTAATTAGCACCTCTGTAAAGCCTCTGGAAAACACAAATGCTGGCTTTTCTCACAGTCTCTGGGCTCTCAGGGACCAGGAACTAAGGCACCAAGAAATAAACTCAGTGACCAGTCACAGGAGCTCTGGAAAGTCCCCATGCCAGGGGGGAGGGGAGAGTGGCGAAAGTGAGAGACAGGAGCCAATGTGAATTTCCTTAAAACTCAAAATGGGATGCTCTACTGCACATTTGTACATTGCTGAGAAACTAGTGGGGGTAATCGGCATATTTCAGGGACACCAAGAAACAGCTTCTGATACACAGTTCTTTCCCAGCTCACTGTCACCACCATGGTGATATTTGAGTGGCGGGTGCAATTCACTTGTGGGAAACCAGGGAAGAGGCAGCCAGTGCCCCAAGTCCTTGCTCCTAAGCAAAGATTGGGACTAGGGTCTGGAAAGACAAGCACTTGCCTTGAGCCCCTCCTCCCTCCCTGCCATTCTCAAAAGCCAACTACTTAATTTAATTCCTTATTTTGGTGGTTAGGAGCCTCTTTTGTCACATAAATGTGTGAACTTTACTGAAATTTCATGACTTCTCCATAACTGTCTGAATGCTTGCCTGACTTCATTCTGCCTTACCATTGACTGGGCTTACCATGCCTACAAATATCAGTAGCATTTTTGCAGTTTGCCCAATTGACTGGGCTTTGAGATACTTGGCTTTAAAAAAAACTATCTGGGATATGTCCATCTCCTTTTTAAAAAAGATTGTTTATTTATTTTTAGAGATTGGAGAAGGGAGAAAGAAAAAGGAGAGAAATAACAATGTGTGGTTGCCTCTCGTGCGCCCCCTCCTGGGGACCTGTCCTGCAACCCAAGCATGCGCCATGACTGGGAATCGAACCAGCAACGCTTTGGCTCACAGGCCCGTGCTCAGTCCACTGAGCCACACCAGCCAGGGCTATCCATCTCTTCTGTTTCCTATTTTTAAATGGCGCTTCTTTGCAAGACAGAGATAGATACCTGGCTTTATTTAAGTTATGCACAACACACAGAATGCCACTAAGATTATTCTACCATATACCACCCTGAAAACAAATACACAAAGTGGCTTTGGTTTCCTAAAAATAGCGTGCAACAAGAAAAGCAGGGAAAATATAAAAGGTACCATAAAGAAATAATCAAGTCTATTACTAAAACTATAATTAACCATAGCCCACTAAACAAAAATCACAATAGGGGAAGTGATATTGGTAAAAGAGCCAATAAAATGTGGTTGTTGAGTAATTTTGGTCTAAAGTTAGCTGTAATGAAAATACCAGAAATTAACTAATGATGTCATCAGTTACATTTAAGTGATTTCATTAGGGCATTTTGCCTTTCTCTTCTCTCTGACCTGTCTCGTTACACTGTCAAGGACTTTGCAGACATCAGATCTGCGCAGGCAAACCAACCACAGGGATGATGCCAAAAGCATTTAAGTGAAATATGTTAATAAAATTCCTTGGAGTTTTATCACACTTTTGCCAAATGTTTTTTATAGAGAGTTCAGGCAATGGGCTCTCCAGGAATGATTTCTTCTATAACCCTCATGAAAAATCAGTTGGAGAACTAGTCTCCCCCAAAAAACAAAGAGGACAAATATTACAGGAATGGCTGATCCTCAGTTGCAGGGATGGCACCGGTTTTATTTCTGTTCTTATCGGAAGAACCAGGCCAGGGGTGAGGCCAGGAGTCCTAATCTGTCACCTTCAATCTGTGGACCTGAGAATGCCCTACGCCTCCCTTGGTCTGATTTTCTGCCCATGAAATGGGAGTTAAAATGATCTTCCCTACCAACTGGTAGAGAAATCAAGTAAGATAATGCAGGTGACTATGAGACACAAAAGGGCCGGTGAACACAGGCAACATTTCTCCAGCAGAAGGTCCTTGATTTTCATCAGGACATGGCGACCCCAATCTGAGCTTGAAAGTGGGTGATTCTCTGTTTAAATGTGAAACCTTTTAGGAAGGCAACACCTTACTGACAAAGTGCCATAATCTAACAGGATTTAGCAGCCAGTAACATAAGAGCTTTTACTGCCCCTCTTTATTTTCATTTGACCTCAGTTGACAAATCTTCAACAGGACGTCAAGGAAAGCGTTTGCTATTGTTAATAATTGCCTGAAACTTTGGCATGTCCCATAATTGGCTTTTCTTCACTTCTGTCAATCATGACAGAGAGCATTTTAAAAATGAAAGTTCAAAGAGGACTTCTTGTGGACAGCAAGGCATTAGTAAAGTTTAGTTCCCTAGAAAGGCCACAGTCAAGTCAGTTTCTTTTAACTCTACTGGTTTAATATCTTCCAGAGAACATCATGATTCTAAGGAAAAGAACCAAGGACATGGTACCAGGACATAGTTTTCACATCAGACTCTTGCCATTGACCTACTGCTCTGTCCAAGATGGAAATGGCCCAGAAATTCATGAAAGGGAGTAAACAGGCTGTTCTAGTACCCTCCTGAAACTATTCAGAAATCAAAGATAATGTTTCTAAGCTATTGTCACAGCTAAACCAACTTTTAAAAGAGGGGATTAGAGTTGGAAAAAAAATAAACTGAGGGGGCAGAAATATGGACTAAGTTGGGTTCTGGGAAGCAAAGAATCAATCTTTACTTACATGTGCTGCAAGTTGCTGTTTTTCAGAAATGCTTTATGAGCCACAAATTTTAATCCAGAATCCACAATTGTCCTATGAAAACACACAATTGCATGCATGTTAGAACTAACTGATGAACGCCACCTAACTAAAAGAAAGTTCTGAGATAAAGTACACAAGTCCTGAGCACTCACAGGTTTTTCAGTCCCACGTAAGCTTCAACATCGTCTTCGTTGATGATTTCCAACCTTTTCTGATTTGCAATGTAACTACAAAAAAGCAGAGAGTGAAAACCATTGACTCCGAATGTCAGCAGTACACAAAAGAACAGGTAACTTCCACAGGACCTCACCAGGGTGCTCAAGGTGCTCTTTCCCCACCCAACTTAACCCTACCATTAAAAAAAGTACAGCTAGGGGAGCAAAACTGAGTGTGGTTACAAACAAACCAAAATGGAGCAGCCGTCATGGTCAATGACAGGTTCATCAGGCTTCATTTGTCTTAGTTTTTTATTACTCATTCTACTAACAATTTCAGTTTTCCTCCCCTTTCATGGTATCCCCTGTGCTTAGAGGTGAAAATAACTTGGAAATGCATGTCTTCACTGCCTCTCAAAAGCAGTCCACCCTTATAGCAACAGCCACAGGGATGCTGGCATCATCACATGCAAGACACATCACACCTTTGCTCACACTCCAAGAGAAGCAATGGCTCCCTCCTTTCACCTCCTAAAACACTGCGGCAGATTCCCCTCCCTTTTTCTCTCTCTTCCCCCCTCCCCCCTTTCCTCCCCACTTTCTCTTCTTCTGGCCCAGCATCTTTCTTTCTGCCTCTGTCAGTAATAAGACCAATTTTTCCTTTCAGGAAGCAAGTTTTACAAACCCACGTGGCCCAAGTGCACTCTCTTTAGGAAATTTCCTCTACCCCTACTCCTCAAACCATCAAATTTAGAAATAAACTGGCAACACTGGCTGGACAGAGACTTCTGTCCCCTTGACCATGTTGACTGGCTTGCAGTTGGGCATGTGACCTCAACTAGACCAATGAGAATCTTCCCTAAAATTAAATACATGAATGCTGGGGCAGGGACTCTCTCTCTCTCTCTCTCTCTCTCTCTCTCTCTCTTTCTGGAATCATAGCTGAAAGATTACACAGGGCTGGGGTCTTCCATAAGAGATTTTTCTGCCACAAAAAAAGAGACTGTCCAAGAATAAAGTCAGCACATGGCACAAAAGATTGGTCAGAGATACAAAGATAGAACACTGAAAATGTCATTTGAGCCTTTGAATCCAGCCATCTCTAGGGTTAGATGTCACTAACTGAATTTTTTTCTGCATTTCTGTCACCTGCAACCAAGAATACAAATCTAGTAATAGGAACACAAAGCTGTTAAAACTGCCTGCATGGAATCACCTTGTGGTAGTTACTTGAGAACCTGTCTCTCCATTTTTCTTAGATCACAACCTCTTTGAAGACAGCTGGATCCTGTTTTACATATATACCACAGCATCCAGCATAGTATCTTGCACAAGGTAGGTATTCAACAGATGACGGATGGATGGATGGATGGGCAACATCTGGAGTTCCAAAGGCACTATAACAAGTTGTGCAAGGATGACTTTTCCTTTCTTTTTCATTAAGATACATAGCATATTCCAACTAAGACACTGAAAACAAACATGTAACCCTGCTGTTACAAACATGAGTTAAAATTTTCAAAAAATTAAAAAGTAACCAATTGGGAAGAAAATACAGCATCTCTAGGTCCCTTCTACCTAATCCCAACACAAAACAAAACAAAGATTTATGGTAAGAGTCGGGACACTCATTTTTAGGAAGCAGATTTTAGAAATAAAATAAGTAAATGCTCGGAGGGAAGAAAATTTCACCAAAGAGAAATAATTTTTAAACTACCCACAAAACCACTGCCTCCCATTACATAAAAATGGAACCTCGAAAATAGAAAGGCATCTTCCACGCAAAGATCTTGGTTCTCCTGGTACCCAGGGCCTGGCACTTAATCGATGTGCAGAAAAGATTCATTCTTTTATCTCCTTCTCCCATACATAGCAGGAAGCACTTTAAGACTCCAACTTAATGCTGAACAACAATTTTCAACATCAAGAGTTGTTATGAAATGCTTCAAAATTATTACACATTAGATACATTTTTCCAAGATTCTCATTCCATTAACATTTTCAATAGAGACCACAGTGACTACCTCCTTCTAAATTAGCTCGCAGTAAGAACTGCACTCCAGAAAGGACTAAATTTTCATGTGTTTTTATAAAACTTCAGTAAAAAAAAAAAGGGTAAATAATGTGGGTTACATTTCATTTGGGGTCACGAGCAGGACTTTCAGAAGGCCTGCCGGCTGCTTACAGCTGAGCTACCCTGGCGGCCATCACTGTTCTGGAAACATCGACTCTCTTTGACTGGACATCGCCACATCCTCCATGCTAATGACAGGGCCTGACACACAATTGTACCTACTCAACTGTAGAACAAAGCATTTATCTTTTAGTTAATTATACCCTTTATTTTATTTTTATTTCACTTTTCTCGAGATTTTTCATTCACAAATTCCTCAGTTGTACTCAATAAACTACAATGAGCTAGGATAAATGAAAATGGAAAGCATAGCCCTGTCAGGTAGCTCAGTTGGTTGGAGCATTGTCCTGTACACCCAACAGCTACAGGTTCAATTCCAGGTCAGGACACATATGAGAGGCAACAGATGGATGTTTCTCTGTCACACTGATGTCTCTCTCTCTCTCTCTCTCTCTCTCTCTCTCTCTCTCTCTCTATATATATATATATATATATATATATATATATATGTCTCTCTCTCTCCCCCTTCCTCTTCTTTACAATCAATAAACATATCCTCAGGTGAGGATTAATAAATCAATATGCAGTAAATACACAAATAAATAAGGAAGGCATAGAAGGAAAAAAAGCAAGGGCAAACACATCAATGGAGCTAGGAATTAGGTTCTAAAATGTGTATACTTGTTAGAAAAAAGCCACAAGCTTATTTCTAGGCTTCCTAGTCACCAACACCCAGAGGAAAAAGGAATGGGAAAGAAATTTGGTCAGTGGTTATTTCGTAGTGTTCATGAGATAAAAATAAATCAGACATTAAGCAAAGCATAACTGTTCTTGGAGCTCAGACTAAACAGGCGATTTTATGGGAAACCATCAAAAGAACCATTTAAAATTATGAAAAAGAAATGGCTACCAGAGAATACCCTTCCTCTGTGGAAACAAACTTCCTAGATAAGTAATGAATTTTTCCCCCTTCAAAATGGAAAAATTAACGGAATAACTGGATTAAAAGGTTGTCGAGTATCCTACCAGATGTCAGGCATCCCCCTTCGTTTAAGTTACCATCTACAGAGGTGCCCACAAGACAGCTGCTGGTTATAAAACACTCGTGAGATCACCCCATAAGGGACTCTCCTTAGCTACCAGTAAGGGATCATAGGACTAGAAAGGAAGTCAGTAAAGTTAGTAACAGACAATTCACAAAGGGGAAACCTCAATGGCCAAGCAACATTTGAGAAGCTGCTCACCCTACAAGGAATCTGAAATGCAAATTAAATAACGATATATCATTCCTCCCATGCTGGAGTGACGAAATGTCTAAAAATTGACAATATAAAACATTTCTAAGGATGTGAAGAATTTCTCTTACATTGTTGGAGGGACCATTACATTGGTATAACCACTTTGAAAGGCAATTTGCCAGTATCCTGGAATACAATAGATCGGCATGCCTCATGGCCCTGCACTTCCATTTCCAGATACGCACCCAAGAGGAATTCCCACACAGGCACACGAGGAGACATATGCAAGAACATCCACTGCATTTACAGTCAGAATCAAAAGTGGAGAACAACTCAAGTGTCTATCGATAGAGAAACTACTCAGAAAAGAATGAAATCTTGCCATTTTCAACAACATGGATGGACCTTGAGGGTATTAGGCTAAGCCAGATGGAGAAAGATAAAAACCTTGTGATTTCACTCCTATGTGGAATATAAAACAAAAAAGTAACAAATGAACTCCCAAAGCAAACAAAACCAAATTCATGAATGGAATGGTAGTTACCACAGGGGAGGAGAAGTAAGGAGACAGTGAACTGGTTAAAGGGGTCAAATGTACGGTAACAGAAAGAAACTAGATTTGGATGGTGAGCACACAATAGAATACACCGATATCAAATTATAAGTACTCCTGAAATTTATGTAATGTTATTAATTTTACCTTAATAAATTTAATTTTTTTAAAGAAATGAAAAAATTAAGATGTGTTAAATACATAAGCTGCATTAAAGCAGATCTTTATATCTGAAAGAACTTCATGTCAAATAAGAAAAAAATAAGCCCAACTGCATACCAATATAAACATATATATAAAACAATTTGTGCAAACTTTCTTTAAAAATGTATTAAATTTATTGGGGTGACATTGCTTAATAAAACTATGTAGGTCTCAAGTACATGATTCTATAGTATATGACCTTTGTATAGCATTGTGTTCACCATCCAAATTCAAGTCTCCTGACACCATGCACTTGACCCCCTTTACCTGCCACTACCTCCCCCAACACCTGTTCCCTCTGGTGATCACCATCCTGTCAACTGTGTTGATGAGTGTTTGTTTGTCTTATTTTTTAAAACTAGACAAAAAAAAACACATAATGTTCAGAATCAAGCATATATGTAAAGTATGAAAAGATGGCAAGTAAGATCACCTCAGGAAAGCAGAATGGGTCTGGGATAAAGAACGAACTGTTAAAGTATTTACTTTATTAAACTACTACACTATTTCTTTTATTAAAGGAGAAAAGACTCATAACAAAGAAGACCAAAATGTTAAGAAGAAGACCAAAGTGTCGGTTCTGGATACAAATATGTGAAGTTATTGTTATGTCATTTTTTTTATCTTAAAAATTTATGAAGAGGTGAGGGGAGGGAAGCAGGTGGGAGAGATGGAGACAGAAAAAGGCATAGAAGCGAAATGACTTCAGGGAAGCTGAACTCCAGGGCTTTTCAGTTACTCAGTAGAAAAATACACTCAGGTTCAACTTCTAGTTCCCTGGACCATCCAAAAACTAAAGTCTAAAAGCCTTCCGCTCCCTGTCCCAGGAGCCAGAAGATTAAGGAGCATGCTAGGCTGCCCCCTACTGGTGATCTTTGCCTGCCTCCAGGGGAATCTTGATACCAAGTCTGCGTTCTCGAATCTGACTGCCACTGCTCAGAGG